GCTTTAAGTAACGACCATATCAAGGGGCGAATTCGTCACTAGGCAAGGAATTTTTGCGCCAATCAGAAACAACGGATACTGTCAAAATATAATTATAATATACAATATATCTCAACTAATATATATTTAGAAAGCCGTTTGTTAGTTTTGGCAAGGCTCGAGAGCGGCTGAACCGATTATTTTGAAACTGCCACCTGCCGCACGTGTTTCAAGGATGGTTTTAGGCTGAAAAATATCTATATGTAAAGGGGGCGTGGCACTTCCCATACAAACCGAATTTCTTATGCTACATATCTCTGAAAGTGTGCATGGTAGAGTTTTGGAAATTGGTATGGAGATATACGAAATCAATCGCATACCCTTGGAGAAAAATTTTAGCTATTGTAAAAAGGGGTATGGCATCTCCCATACAAACCGAATTTTTCATACTGCTTATCTCTGGAAATTTTTTGGTTGAGTTCTAGAGTTTTGTATGGAGATGTACGAAATAAATCGCATACTCTTGGAGAAAAATAGGAACTATTGGAAAAGGGGGCGTGGCATCTTCCATACAAACCGAATTTTTCATACTGCCTATCTTTGGAAGTGTTCATGGTAGAGTTCTGGAGCTTGGTATGGAGATATACGAAATCAATCGCATACTCATGAAGAAAGAGGGCAGCTGTTGGAAAGGGGGGCGTTGGAACCTCCCATATAAATCGAATTTTTATACTGCATATCTCTGAAAGTATTCATGGTACAGTACCGGAACTTCGTATGGAGATATGTATATAGTTGAAATCAAGCCCATACTCATGGAGAAAATTTGGGCTATTTGAAAAGGGGTGTGAGGCCTACCAACGTACCGACCTTTAGCTATCTTTGAATGATTTTTTTTATTCTTCTGTAGGTGTGTTTGTGAGAGAAATCCTCCTAAATGGTTGTATGAATTTTAACGAAACTTTTTGTGTATTTGAGTGGGTCTCTGGATGGTTTAGTTCACAATTTAATCCGACAGTTGGCGCTGTAGTTGAGTTATTACTAAAAATCTTATTTATGATCCGATTTGGCTAATGTTTTAAATATGTATGCAATACTATTGCAAAAACGTGCTGCCAAGTGGTGCTGAAGTCGAGCTGTTACTAAAAATAGCCAAGTGAGAAAAGGGGCCGTGAAGGTCAGATTAAATCGATCTGTTGCACCATTGAGTATATCGAACGCTCCTGCGTTGCAATTGGCCCAATGGATGTGATTTTCCAATATTATTATGCGTTCAAACTTTTAAGGTATTTCGTCTGAAATAAGTATATGTATATTGCATTTCTGTAGAACAATGATTCCCACCCATTTTGAAATTGCCACCTACTTTACTGTAAAGCTTCTAGGACATTCACTATAGAACCGGGTCATTGTTGCCGCCAGGGAGTAAAGAGGAAAAAATTTATTTCGCTTTGCGAATAACCGTGCTATGAAATGCCGCACAACTGGAGCATTTCAAGAACGGATATAACACTTTCCTTAGGTTATTTAAAGCGGAAAATGACCACCAAACCTTAATCTTAGCAGACAAATGTGCCAATGAAAATCGTAAACGTGAATTGTTGGTGAAAAAGTTGGACCAAAAAGTTTCAATAAAATATATAAAAATCTTGGGCGGGACGAAGTTCGCCGGGCCTGCTAGTATAATTAGTATAGATAGATATAGATAGTAAGTCAAGGAACAAATACACATGCATATACATAAGTACATATTTCGTTTAAAGTACAAAACGTGTATCAACAAAATGCAAAACCGCGTATCAAGATAATGCAAAACCGCGTATGTGGGGTTGCATAAATTATTTTCTAGAGAGTAAAAACATTCATATTTCAAAATGGTTCTCTTTTTTATAAAATAGCTGCATTTCTGGCTATTATATTTCAGGACGAATGGATAAGGATTGACCAAAGAGCTTGTGTGAGCAAATCCAATTTTTGGCAGCAAATGTCAGTTACGCGGTTTTGCAGAATGACGATACGCGGTTTTGTACTTTAAACGACGATATAAAAATTACAAAGGAACAACTAAAATATTGAACACAAAAAATACTCGCCATTAAATCAACTACATCTACTTAAATCCATACCACATTCTGTGTTCGCTTTGTCTAAACTAAAAACTAAATTTGAATTCTATAAGCATAACAAGTACGCGGCAGAAATGTCATCGGTGTATTCTTTTTTGCAAGATCCTTAAACTTTCTTATGTGTATCTGTTTTTTTTTGTGTTTGCTAAATCTGCTGAGTGCCCAATATTTCGCATGTGTTGTGAAAGCGCTGTAGTATTTTTTATTTATTTTTTAATATCTGTTTCATGTTTGTTTAAGCGCGTGCCTAGGGCTCGCTTAGTTGGTCCTATGTACACCATTCCGCATTCTTCGTTCTCCTTACCATTACATTTGATTTCATAAACTATGTTACTTTGTTGTTGAGCATCTTTTGAGCATTTTGTTTTTACCTTCCTTCTATTAGCTCGGGATGTAACTATGTAATATTGATGCGCCTAAAAGATGCAGCGATTTCTATTCTCAAGTTACATACCTGATGACAGTACGAATGGCAATAATAAATGGGAGGTTTTAGTTTTTCAAACTATAATGTTATTTGTAAAAACAGTGAATAATGTGCAATTAGATTTGTGTGAAAGTGTTATGTGTTGTTGTTTTGCTAAGTTTTCGGTCAGCTTCGGAATGTATGTGACACTGTAGTGTCTTTTTATTAGTATTACCTCCCTTTTTTACCTCCCTTTTATTAGCTCGGGATGTAACTATGTAATATTGATGTGCCTAAAAGATGCAGCGATTTCTGTTCTAAAGTTACATACCTGATGTCAGTACGAATGGAAATTATAATAGCGAGGTTATAGTTTTTTAAACTATAATTTTTTGTTGTGTTTATTGCATCTGTGCTTGAAGTTCTATTTTGATGATTGTTTGTTTTCATTATTTTTTGTTTTATTAAGTTGTGTGTTAAATTTTCAGGGTAGTTGTTGCTTTTTAGGATCTTGGTTTTTTTTTTCAATGTTCGCTTCATGGAATTGTTTGTTTCTTATTGTTAATATTTTGTTTATGAGGTTTTCGCGATATTTACTTTGTATTTAGTTGGCTGCGAAGAGAGGAAATTTATCAGGCGACCAGAAGATGTAGGCTTGCAATACCAGTCCGTAAGAAGGCGATTTTCGCTTCTATGTATACGCGCGTCTAGAAAAGGGATGCTTGAGTTTTCTTCCATTTCCAGGTGAATTGAAGTTGGTTGTGGTATTTGTACAGATGTTGGAGGATGATATTAACGTCATTGCGTTTGACTATTGCGAAGAAGTCATCTACATATTTTGTTATAAATTTAATGTTAATATTAAGTTTTTTGAGCACTGAAATGGTATTTTTGAGTAAATCGTCCATTACGATGTCAGCAATTATTGATGAAAGGGGGTTGCCCATTGGCACTCCAAAGGTTTGCGTGAATAGCTTATAATAATAATAATAGATTGGCGCTTACATATATGTTAGTGTTTGGCCGAGCTTCTCCTCCGACTTGTGGCGTGCGCCTTGATGTTGTCACACAAAGCGGAGGGACCTACAGTTTTACGCCGACTCCGAACGGCGATTGTATTTTTATGAGAAGCTATTTTTCATGGCAGAAATACACTCGGAGGTTTGCCATTGCCTGCCGACGGACGACCGCTTTTAAGAAAAAACCTTTTTCTATATTTTTTTTACGATGTTGCTTTGACCAGGGTTTGAACCCAGGCGTTGCGGAGTGGAAGCGCGCACTGCTTACCACTACACCACAGCGGCCGAATAGCTTATTATTGCACATAAAATAATTGTTGTCTTTAAGACAAAAAACCAAGAATATTTTGAAATTTGCTTTTTGGAATGTTCGTCACCTTTTGTAGTTTCTCCTAGTTTTTCATTCAGGCCAATTCTTAATACTCCCGGCAAGTTTGTTCTCCGGGAATTTGTTTCTCCCGAGAAAGAATAGCTAGCTTATTATTGCACATAAAATAATTGTTGTCTTTAAGACAAAAAATCAAGAATATTTTGAAATTTGCTTTTTGGAATGTTGGTCACCTTTTGTAGTTTCTCCTAGTTTTTCATTCAGGCCAATTCTTAATACTCCCGGCGAGTTTGTTCTCCGGGAATTTGTTTCTCCCGAGAAAGAAATTTTATTTATTTATTTATTTATGTATTTATTTATTACGACTTCTTAGGGCCTAGTTCAAAAAAGAAACGAAACACTTAAACATAGTATTACATTAAATAATAATATGTACAATATTTGAATATTAAAAAATGAAATATTGAAATATGTACGACAAATCCACAGAAACCACAACATTTATCTTATCACCAATGATTGCAGTCATATAACCTTTTTTTTGAATAAGTTGTTATCACAGTTTTTAATATTTTCGGGTAATTCGTTGAAGCATTTTAACCCTTTATAAAAAAGGCTACTTTTTTCGGATTCTGTTTTATAATTAGGTAATTTGAAATCATTTCTCTGTCTTGTATTTCTGTCGTGGACCTCGTAGTTAAATTTAATACATGTTCTTAGATAATCAGGAAAATGACCGTTCTTTATGTTGTAAATAAATTTCATTGTGTAAAAAAATATTTGCGGTTTTACACTCGTCCAATTTAAACTGAGTAGCGCTTCTTTTATAGGCGTATCATAACGGTTTTTACAAGCTTTTATTTAACTTCACTTGTATGTATGTATGTATGTATGTATGTATGTCCTGGAACTTTGCAGTCAATATTTAACAAACTTCCCGATGAGCTACAGACTTGAAACTTCAAACTTAGCTCAGAACTCGGGGACAATACAATTTAAAAGATGTTTTAATCCGCTAGGTGGCGCAGGAGTCGAG